TCCAGCTGAAACTTCTGAGGGCCATTTTCAAGTTTTTCACGAGCTCAACTGCGGACAGAACTCCCTCTTCGATCTGGAGAAAAGTGAGCATGTCAATCTTCTGATCATATATTCATTAGAATTATATACTAACAAATCACAGTTTATTCTCTTGCAAGTTGTTACTACTTTTGCACAATGTATATATGAGCAAGGCAGAGGGGCCTTGCCTTTGCCGTGATGGTGATGTTGAGGCAGGAGCCCGTAAACGGTATGATGTTGGTGTTTATGATCGACAGGCCCTGATTTTCGAGCTCGGTCAGGATCATCACCAGCACCCCTCTCCTCTTCTTGCAGCAGATATTCAGTAGTGCCGTGTTCCCTCGGATGCTGGCCTCAATGTCTGGGCTCGAGTACCCGGACCTGGAGCCGCTCCCGCTGGGGCCTGCTGCATCGTTGTCGGGAGGGATATGTTGCATTTGCTATCGAACACCATGGACTCTGACGACCTCCGTGAGCCTTGCTCTAGGGCCTGCACCTTCTCCTCCAGCTGCTTCACGTAGTCGATGGTACTCCCCAGCAGAGAGAGCTTGTCAGTCTGAATAATATGGCAATGACCAACTATTTAAGCTGCAGCCTGCAGGTACCTGGTGTCTGGTGATCACATAAATGGAGCCAACCTGTCTTGTCACGCACCTTCTTGAGTCCGGGGACGATGGTGGCCAAGGACACGAACTGCTGCTGCAGCTTCTCCCGCCGCTTGCGCTCGGCGATGACGTGCTCTTGCGGCGCCCTGCCCCACCTCTCCGGCGCCTGCAGCTGCTGCATCATCCCTTGGACTCCATTGCTCTTCCAGCCGGAGAAGCTCAGGGTGCTAGCCTGGCCAGCTCCGACGGAGAGGAAGTTGGATGATGGCGGCGGAGCCGGTTGCCCCAGCTCGTTCTTCACCATTGCCGATCCGAATGGTAAGCTCGGCAATGACGACGAGCCCCCAAAGCTCGGGAAATTGGAGCTGCGAGATGGATTGAACGTCGGGATTGCCATCGGCGGCGTGTAGCACTGCGCTTCACGGCCAGGTAGCGGTGGCTCTGCAAACTGCTGCCCCCTACCGGGTACAGGTACTGGACCCCCTTCTTCCTGGTACATGTAAGCTAGCTCCTCCTGTTCCTGGCATGGGCCATTGCAATAAGATGTCACAAAATTATGCATAGCTAGCTTTAACTCGCAGCATCTTATCCGCAAAAAGAAAATTTAACTCGCCGCATCTGAACTTGTAGATGTTACAAGTGATTACGATTGACGACCAGATTAATATGCTTACCGTCTGGGTAAGCCATTGGTTTGGTTGCTCCATCATATCACTGCGTACACAAGAAAAGCTTGATGATTAAGACACATACAAGCTCAGAGGAAAACCAATCTAGAAAGGTAGAATTTCTGGCGAACACATACCTGAAACCTCTGTCCTCTGCGTTTCTTGTGTTCTCTTCTTTCTTGACTTCCTCCCTGTCTTGCTTACAGAGGCATGCACATATAACGCAAACAGTATGTACTTGCAGGTTTGGTTTCACAGTCCGCACTCCGTGCGAGCTTCAGAATTTCTTTCTCAACACCTTTTCTCTCCGGTGCTTGGCCTGAGTGCCTGACATCGCAACTCCGATCTCTGAAGATCTCCTGCGTCCTATCTTTAATACACCCGAGAGATCCGTGATCTGAATCCAGTTCAAAAAGAAACTCGTTCTGTCTCGCACCTCCTCAACTCAACCTGTCTGAAGGTTCAGTAGGTCCGATGAAAGTGGCATTGGGATATATAGAAAACTAGTGTGCACGCACGCATTGTTGCCGGACGAGGTCTGTTTCACTCGCAAGTGCGACGGTTGCAAGTTGTTGGGGTGTCGAATGCCACACTTCGTGAAGGATGAGTACACTCTAGTGTACATTTTCCGGATAAGCTTGGTGTTGGAGGGAAAGTACAGTGGTTATGAACTCCACTAGTATGCATATACCAATACCATACTATCATTTTGTCGATTGTTTAGGAGACCCATGTGATTATAGCGCTGCATCCTTTGTGCTGAGCCTGCAAGCTTTATGTTAATTACACAAGCAAATCCCAGGAAAGCGGCTCCAAATCAAAGTGCAAATACAAGACAACTGTCTGGAAGAAAGTACAAACCTGAAGAGGGCACGAGAAGAGGACAAATGGCTTATATATTCGTTTGCTTCAATCCCATCAACGAGGTTAGGGCTTTAAGGTACTAGATTAGATACTCATCATGTTGTCGCATTGTTCTAGGTGCATGTGCAACTTGGAATATTTGATGACACCTTTCGGCTGCCACGAGCAACTTCGCTGCATATAAGATTGGTATGCAAAATTCTGCCTAGATTTAGTTGCTTCTTATCGTTCTGAATTTACTGCTAGTTACTCCCTCCGTTCCAAAATAGATGACTCAACTCTGTACTAACTTTAGTATAAAGTTGAGTCATCTATTTTGGAACGGAGGGAGTAACTAGCAGTAAATGCTATGGTTAAGTACATTTTCAGCTTAATTAGAAAAAACTTTGTAAATTTTGAGGAGCACACATTCTGATTTATTATCTCACATCTGGATACATTTATTAGTTCACATTCATATACATCGGCCAATTAACCATGACCAAAATGGAGCAGCGCAAATGTTTCAGGCCTATATACTTTATTATAGCAACAACGGCTGTCGAAATTTCTGCTCCAAGTTTCTGCTCTTGTAGACTCAGATTCTAAGCATGGCATAGTCCTTGGTTTTCTTGCCGTCAAGTTTGCTCGAGAAAACAACCTTAGCAACCTCGTCCACCCTCAGGGTCTTGTATTTCTTGAGCTCGGCCCCAACTATTTCAGATAATGGGCCCACGCTCATATCAAACTTTGGGAGGTGAAAAGCAGAAATGGACATCCTCTCCTTGTGAGGATTAACGGTGACCCTGTGCTCAATGCTTTGGTACTTTCCGTTTGTCATTATCTACAAATAAAGAGTGCTCATGTTAATAGTTGGGGACTTCTTCATTAGAGTGAGTATATGGCATTTTACTTTCCATGGTCTTGCAAAATACTAATACAATGTTGGAGATGTCTTAATAAGAAAAGGATAACAAATTAATAAATCAACGGGTGCATAGATCGATATACCTCAAGAAAGTCGCCAACATTCACCACCAATGCCTTGGGGTGGGGTTTTACCGGCACCCATGCATCTTGTCTCTTGATCTGGAGCCCTCCCACCATATTCAACTCCCATACCAGCGTTAGCATAGAAATGTCGGAATGTGGTGAAATCCCCAAAACCTTATCATGAGCCACGGGGCATGCAGGGTAGTAGGTCATCCTCAATGCCTGACTCACGTATGTATCACTGGGGAGATCAACGCCTAGGTTTCTAGCGATGATTGCCATGAGCGAGCCAGTCACCCTCATCAGCTCAGCGGAGTACGACTCAATGGATTCCCTGTTGCGTTATAAAAAAAATCATATCAGAGACAACGCTTCTTGTTGTTTCAAAATTTAGCTAGTCATGGTATAGGACTTAAAATGTGTATATGTAGTGTAAATACTGAAAATGCATGCTTGAATCTCGACGGCAATTGACCAAGATAATTACCTGAAGCTGACAGGAGTTGTAGGCCATGGTCTCATTTCACGATCGTGAGGTGGCTGGGTCACTAGGTAAAGCCTGTCACACCAGTCGAGCGTTTGATGTTCGGACTCAACAAATGCTTGGCCATAGCCTTGGAGGTCCCCAGGCAACTGGCCAAATCTGTTCTTCTCATCAAGGGGAAGCCTGAAGAAGTGCTCGAGGTCGTTCCTCATGTTTTCAAGAACTGTGTCAGGAATTCCATGGTTTTTCACCTGTAAATTGTATGCATATATGTGTTGGCTCCTTGGAGAGAAACTGCAGTATTTCTTTCTGAAATGATATATAAAAGGTGATAAACGTGGAATAGAAATATAGGATAGCTTAACTTTTTTTTAATTAGCAGAGTGACCTGCGCATTTCCGCGGCAAAATTTTCTTTACTCTAGAGACCTATTTATTTGCTCATGTAAGGCAACAACATAGTTATTGACATATATTTGCTGATGGTAATGAATTATTACTTGATATGATTTGTTCCTTCTAGTTCTTTTTGCCAAATGACTATGTTTCATTTTCTCCTATAATAGCTTGTTTTTCCTGTCAGTGCACTTATTTTTATTGCATTGACTTGGCATTTAGTGGTTCTAACTTATTGCATACTCCCTCCGTCCGACAAGTATTTTCGGACGGAGGAAGTACTAAACATCTGTTTGGTGGTTACAACCATTACGGTTTTAGCCGCGACAACATTTGTTCTCCATACAATATGTTGTAGGCATGCTATATGTGATATTTATGCTCCATCATTATATATATAAGTTTTAGTTTGAACTGTATATCTAAAATGTTTTTTTAGCGAAAATATCTAAAATGATTGGCTATTTTTATTAAATTCATTCTGGAAATTAAGTATTTGTGCACTTCTATCTTTAAGTTCTTTTTGGTCGCCGCTGGCACTCCGTGCAGTATATAGCTGAGAGTATGGGTCTGTTTGGATTCCAGCCAACAGCCGCCATGCCAAAACATTGGACGTTGACCAGGTGCTGGGTACTCGTTTGGATGATGACCAAATATTTGGCACGCCCTGGCTGCACGGGCATCTCCAGTTCATTTTGTTGCCAACTCTTGGCCAGGGCGTGGGCGGCTGGATGCTGCGCCAAAGTTTTGGCTCGCCCACGATTTGGTAGGGCTGGCTAGGGCAGCATCCAAACAGCCCCTATCTCTTGCTTTATTGGCCATTTGATTCTGTTGCATGTCCATGTCCATATATATCAAACCCCCTCTGCAATAAAAATTATTTTCTGACGTTTAATAATACACAGATCCAAGAGGAGATGTAACAGGCTAACACCTAGCACTTAGCCTCCATGTGTTTCTGTTTGCAGCTAGTACTATCGATCCGATCCGAGCCCTCCCTGACAAAAAATATATTCTCAAAATTATAGAGCGGACACATGTCTTTAAATCTTTAATTTGACCAACAAAACATGTGCACACGGCGATGCAAATGGGCACCCTCTGAACCTTATTTCGTTCAACCAAATTAATTGAGTTTTCAAAATCACAACTATCAGAAATTTCACTTGAAATTTTGGTTCATCTGGTTGAACTAAAATCAATTTGTATCCTTATGTACATGTTCTGCAATTCTGATTTAAGAGTTGTTATGATTTTATACGTGTTACGAGAAATACATCGCAGTCTACGAAAGCAAATACCTGGAAAAATGTTCAAACATGGGATCTTTTGACTTGGAACTAAATCATACCTGGAAGAAGCCCCACTCCTCACATGCGGACCTGAGCCTGGCCGCCTCCAGCTGATAGCTCTGGGGATCAAGGAGCCTGCCAAGGTCGATCACAGGAATGCTCTGGCTGCTATCGTCGCCGTGAGCAGCAACGGCGACATCGTCGGTCCTCGCCGGCCTGATGTACCGCTTGATGGCCTCCTCCGTCAGCTCCGCCGCGTCCGCGGCCAGCGCCTGGACGTTCTTCACCGGCATGGTCTTCCCGTGCGACCATTTCCCTTCCGTGCTCTGCTTGGTCTCCATATTCTGCCTGTGTGTACCAAGGTAGGAGTACTTCAGATTTTTATAGCCGTGGAGAGCCGTGGCAATGAACACAAGCATTATAGACCTCTATCATTGAGTTGGACCACAGGTTCAAAACAAACAACTCGGGCTCCACGAGGCACCCAATCAGCATTGTTGTCTGTGCCTAGAAAAGCGCAAGCAGCTAGTTGCCACCGGCTACTACTGTTCACAGCATGGAGAAATTTTGGCCTGGTGCTTTCAATCATGCATTATGGTTATCATTGAGAGGAGTTCACAAGGATGACAGGCACTCTGATGACCAGCTGTCAATCAAGAAGATAAAGGCAAGCAACAATAGTGGCATTCCACATAGTGCTTCCACCCTTAAACGCTCCCAACTATCAAAATTAATTTTGAATATTTCAAAAACTTCTTAAACTTTTTGTGAATGTTCACAAGACATGTGTCCACACTCCACAGTCTCTGAAAAAAACCCAATTCGAAATACATATGGAGAAAAAAAACAGATTGGCATGAATTTCCCTTTTTGTTTCTCCACGTGTTATTTATTTATTTTGCGAATGCGCAAAAGATTTGCGTGTCGATGTATTAGAAGGAAAATGAAATGCACAAGAGAGTGGGTGCCGAAGGCGAACCGCACAACAGCCAGGGTCAGCGATTGGGCGATCCTATGTCCATGGCCAGTACAACGCCCACAAAGAGTGTTAATCTGCACTCCCTCTGTAAACAAATATAAAACATTTTAGATCACTAAAGAGGTAGTACCTCAGGACCTCTCGCAACCTAAATGCACCAGCTCTCGACCATGATCTTAGGGCAGAGCAGTTGGACCGTACACGATGTGGCCTGGAACGAGGAGAGCTGGTGCATTTAGGTGACAAGGAGAACGAGAGAAGGCGCACATCAGGCCACCACTCAGCCAACACCGGGTCCTCAGGCGTCTGTTGCCTGAGACCACATTTGCCCGGTGTCAAAGTCCAAGGCCTCCTTTGGTTCATAGGATAGAAATTTTATAGGAATAGGAAAATCATAGGAAGTGAGATGACATGCATCTCAATTCCTATAGAGGAAGAGATGTCAGTTGGTGCATAGGATAGGAATTTTTCCATTAAGTCTAGGCTAATGTTTTTTTCCTCCAAAATGTGAAGGATTGATTCCTATCCTACATAGGAATAGAAATCCATTCCTACGAACCAAAGGGCTTCAAAGGAATTTTTCCTTTGCAAATTCTATCCTATAGAATTCCTATAAAATTCCTACAAACCAAAGGAGGCCCAAATGGCCACGGAGTAACTGCAGCCCTGTGCGATGTTGTCTGGTGTCTCTGGTGCCATTCTTCAGAGGGCGCAGAGCCCGTGGTTGGCAAGGCCGTGACGGTGTCTTTTGTCGGCTCTCCACATGTATTTTGAATTTGGATTTGCACTTTTTTAGAAATTTTAGACGCATGTCTCATGGATATTCATAAATAATTGATTGTCTTGAAACATTTAAATTGACTTTCTGAGATATGGGGGCATGTGAGGAATAGGATCACATGATATGCACTCGATTCTGGAGTCTGTCGAAGGAGCCAAGCAGCTAATAATTCTAACATTTATGGTGCCAGATACCTTGTCATCTCCGGCTTCATTGGCGCTCATCCATGTAGTTGGGAGTTTTCCCACCTGAATATATTACCACTTAAATGGTTATAATGCCAAGAGATTGATCCACTTTATAACTGGATCGAAAACCTTAACAAATAGACCTATTTATCAGAGAAACTAGGCCGAAAACCGTACAAGTACCAAGGTTAAGAGAAGATGAGAAAAAAGGGCGCCCAAGCACAGGCGAGGTGATGATCCTTCGGTCTGCTAGATAACCACATATTCATCTTGAACACTAAGATATTATTATTATTATTTAATTTAAGTGGCATCTGAAACTTTCTTTTCCATGCTACTCATTATCATCATCACCCATGATCTCTAGGTATCTGAAGGATCCGAGCAAAAAAAGGGCTCTTCAGTTTATGCTTTTGTCGTGGCTAAGGGAATGTCCAACACTGAACTCCTGGGAAGATGCTTATAGAAGAAAAAAATAAATATCATACAATTGAAAAAGATCTAAGTGCCCTAACCCCCAACGCTAAACGGTAAATGCATATGTCAATTAAATGGCTAGGGCGCTTGCTGCGGCAAAGAAAAGGCTGAAGTGCCCGGTGCATGCCTTTGCTCTGATGCCGCTGCTGATGCTGGGATTTCATGGCCCAACTGCTAATCGGGCAGAATTTCAGTGGGAAATCAATTTTAGCCCCTCTCAAGCGTCCAACATTAGAGATGGCCCTGTGGCTCCTTCAAGCAAAGCAGTGGATGTGCACACTTGGCCCTTAGCGTATTCTATTACAACATTTCCAAGAGATGACCAAAAATAGTCGACGTGTTAAAAAAAAAACTGCTACTTGAATCACTTTGGAAAGAAAAGAAAAACAACTCCAGCAGATGCCTTATAAATATATGATGCTAAAAAATATACATCATGCACAAAATTTTGCTACAAGTGATGTAAATATACATCACCTCTGGTTGCTACCGCAAAACTGTTTCGACTGCGACCCAACTGCCCCAGACTCATCCAAGGCCGCGCAGTGAACCTTCACCCCACAACCACTGCTCCCGATTCCGGCCGTCTCGAGCCACACCGCCACCCTACAGGTCGTTCCCGCCGGCGAATCCGTCCGCCCTCGAGTTATAGCCCCGCCTTGCCCCCACAACAGCTGTCACCGTTGTCGCTCGAATCTGGCCAATTTGTCCTCCCTGCCGCCAGATCTGTTGGTTCCGGCCGCCCATTAGTTGAATCCAGACACCCCGGTTTGATTTGTTGATTGCGGTCTCCTCCGAGGTTCTTCATCGCTGAGCTCCTTTGCCACCAGCCGGCTGCCAAGCTCCTCTGCCACCGCCGATGGAGATGCATTTCTTCCTTATTTTACAAAAGCAAGACATATATATAAAAAAGGAGCCCCTAGGGGGAGATGTAAGAAAAAAAATCACTACCAATTTGACCCTTGATACTCACTCCGATCCATATTAATTGGCGCTGCTTTAGTACAACTTTGTACCCAAATTTGCACTAAAGCAACATCAGTTAATATGGATCGGAAGGAGTACCAGTTTTATATTTGGTTATTTACTAAAATCTCATTTTGAAGGAGAAGGGGCAATATTACTTATAATAGTATTGATTTGCTTTAGACCCATCTTTCACCTGCCACGATCGGGGTGGCTACCCACCGTTGCCTCCAGGACGCCGGGCCCCAAGCCCCAGTGTGAGGCTCCGGACTTCAGGCCACTACGTGTCGGAGACCACAACCCGGTTAATTAACGGGGGGTGGGGATGGGGGGGAGGGGGACTGGCTTGGCACCTTCCACACCACAGAGCTGGCGGCGCGTGTGTACGACGCAATGACATTCTGCTACTTCCAGGATCGGACAGTGTACAATTTCCTAGAGAATTGCGATCACACGGATTTCCTCGCCCATGAAGTTTAGATCGTCCCCCGTGAAGAGGAGAATGCGCAACACTGAGGCTAACAATAACCTGTTCAAAAATTCGTCCGATTAACTAGGGACTGGCTTGGCACCTTCCACACCACAGGGCTGGCGGCGCGTGTGTATGACACAATGACATTCTAGTACTTCCAGGACCGGACAGTGCACAATTTCCTAGAGAACTCCGATCACACGGATTTCCTTGCCCATGAAGTTCAGATCGTCTCCCGTGAAGAGGAGAAGGCGCAACACTAAGGCTAACAATAACCCGTTCAAAAATTTGTCCGATTAACTAGTTGGGTTACTGAGTACCCGATCTAAGAAATCAACCGATTAATTGATTAATTGGCCAGTTAGCCTATTAACCCCCTACTCGCCAGCCAATCAAGCATCTACGAGTTAACAATTTCCTCAACGTAATTGCAAGAGGAGGGGTGGGGAGGAGGAGGATCACAAGAGGGACGCCGAGGTCGATGAGCTGTTGGACCAGCTCGAGATGGAGCTCTTCAACAAGGAGACGGAAGAGGAGGAGTAGAAGGTGAAGCCGTGGAGTAGATCTACGACCAATGACACGAGGCTAGCCCCTCCAGCAGAGGGGTGATGGACATCTCCTCGAACGAGGACGTCGACAACTACTGCTAGCGTGACACTACACCGTGGAGCTAGGTCTATCGCAACGTGGTGCCAGGGATTTGTGAGAGTAGTAGTGTTTTAGTTTGTTGTTTCATGTTTAATGTGCAAAATTTCGTACCAGAGTTCAAAATGTGCAATGTATTTATGTGTTTAGTTCATGTTTCAATTTTTTTGGGGCAACAGTTTTCGGGTTTGGAAAAATAAAATCTTTTCAGTTGCACAAAACCCTCCTCTCTCCTCACCTGAAACCAATTTTGCGGCAGCAATTTTTTTGTCATCTGTTGGATATGCTCTTACACTTCAGGAAACATGGTGCTACCAAAACAATGTTCTAGTCCTCCCAAAGCCTCCTGGCCAAATTCCCCTAGACCCATACTGAAAGAGCAATGGACTAGAGGGGGTAACGAAAATTCTATTTCAGATGTTAGGCTTTGGCACGTTTTAGCTTAAACTAGTTTGTTCTTGAGCAACTTGTGCACATGCAAGCTAACAAAAGAAAATCAGCAGAAAAGTAACTTCCAAGTAAATGGAGGGTTTAAGTTTAGATGGGTTTAAAAGAGAAAAGACCATTTTTCAACTTTGAACTTACACATTGGTTTATGAATGAACCCTCAACTTTAAAACAGGTTATTTTTATTTTTCAACCGACCTTTATTACGAAACGGTCGAATTGCAATCTGACTACAAAGATGCAGACAAGAACCTAGATATTACATCAAAACATTGCTTGACCGTAATGTTAAGAGCTTTCTTTAAGCATGTACATGTCACTGAACCGTAATGTTGACTTTTGAAAGGCCAACGAAGCCTTGGTGAACAACAGGTCTCGCGAAGCGACCTAGGTTTCCTCCCCGCGCCCCCGCCGCTGCCGCCCACTACCGCAGGATGCTCCTAACGCGACACTATGATTAGAGA